CATGAAGTAGGCTGAAGATGAAGAACTACAGTTTAATGAACTGATGTGCTTAATCTTAGCTGTTTTTAGGAACAGGAGTTTAGTTGAATTGAAACAAACTTGAGAGAGCTTTACCAGATAGATAGATATGGATATGGATATAGATATAGATATAGATATAGATACAGATGCAGATGCAGATAGATATATAGATATAGATGAGTATATAGATATAGGTTATATATATATATATATATATATATATATGTCAACTTTTTGAAAATGTACTGTGGGAAATGTATGTTAAATTTTACTTGCAAGATTCCACAAAAACAAAAATAGTATCATAGTTTATTATGTTAGCATCCTATTACTATCAAAAAAACAATTGAGATCACTAACATAGAAAAAGTTTATCTTGGTTCATGGATTTAGAGGTTCTAAACCCTGATTAAATAGAACAACTGCTTTTCACCTCTTGAACATTCCTATGGCAAAAGTTGGGAGCACATGGCAGAACAAACTGCTCACCTCATAGGCAAGAATGAAAAGAGGGCAAGGGGGCAAGTTCCCTCAGCCCTCTGCAGGGACACATGCCCTGTCACCTAAGGACCTGGACTAGGTCCCACTTCCTAAAGGATCCATACCTTTAAGTAGTCCCATCCTGTGGAGCCAGCCACCAGCACATGGACCTTTGTTCGAGGCATTCATCCATACCATAGCCTTTATCAATGTTATTTTTAACCTTGAGATTTGAGGAACTGTATAAGAGTCAGCACTCCAGTAGAGGTTGGAGGTGGGGAAAAGCAGAAAAAAAAACTGATAGCAAGCTGAGAGTAACCTAAAATGTGGTCTTAGGTCAGAAATTTGAATAGTATTTACCACAATGCTCAGAATTAACAAGTAAATCTGTTAATCTTTCAAACTTAAAAGGCTAAAAAATTCACCAAGCTAAAAGAGGAAGGAAGAAGAGAAAGCATAAAGGTAAGAAGGAATTCAGCAACCAAGCAGTGAGGGGAGTGGAAAAAAACAAAACAAAACAGAAGAAATAGTTTAGCACAGTGAAGGCCAAGTTCAGGGAGGAAGTGACTTATTGAAAAACCTAGTTCAATCTAATAACCTAAACTTCTCTATCACCTGACACTAGAAATCTTCTCATTTCCCCATTGAGGGATTATTTCTTGTACCTAAAAAACCATTCCTTCCCTGTACTCTGAGGCAGGGATGCCCCAAAGCAGGCAGCCAGAAAGCAGAGTTCCTATGTCTAGAAACCTGTGCAAAACAGAGCACATGTGAGTGGAAAGTAAAAAAAAAAAAAAAAGAGAAAAGAAAAGTATGAACAGAGGAAAAAGGCAATGTTCTGTAAATTGCATTAGAAAAAGAAAGAAAAAGTGAAAGAAACAGTGTATATACAGAAGTAAATCTTAAATATTCTTTGTGCTATAGAAAGTTCCAATGAACAGAACCAACCTCTCTTCTGGTTCCTTTGATGCATTTAATCCAGATAGACATTAATATCCTGGGCAGAGTCACATATACAGATTATAGAGGGTAGTATAATTCCAAGATTTAGAGAAAAAGGCTTTAATTGTGTAGGGAGCGAGGGGTCCCTAAGCACGTGTATGTGAGAGGACTATGGTACTTTTGGTGGGAATCCAGCTCAGGTGGGAAGCTCAGTTTCCCTCAGGCTTGTCATATACTCTGGCACATTAGTGTTATATATTTTAAAAATAATTTTGCTGTATATATTCAAGACATAAAACCAGATATTATGAAATAATATAAATAGGAAAAGAATTACATGAGTGCAGCAAATTAACATGCTAATAATATCATGTAGTAACCACTTTTGGTGTGTCTGCAGCAAGAACAGCCAAAGTCTACTCACTTAGCAGATACATTAGTAACATTAGTCTTCTGCTGGACATTGGTGCGCTAAACTTGTTCATTTAGTGTTTGATTTTTTGTATGTTTTTAGTCTCCATATTGTCATCTTAAACACGACAAGTTAAAATGGAATAAGGTGGCATCATGGGGTGTGGATGAGAGTAGCGCCCTCTTCTCTTCTGGCTTTCCTATTCTCAGCCCATGCACAATGCCCCATAAATGACACAGGAAACATCCTACAAGTTCATGAATAGAAAGCAACATGGTCTCTTTAAACAGACCTGGGAAATGCACCAGAAAGTCCTGCAACTGCTGTCCAGAGTAAAAAAATATGTTAAATGGTGTTTTATTTAAAATACTGAGTGACCAGCACAATTACAGTTATCACAGGAGAAAATAGTCAATATTCCAAGAAAGGCACCAGAGTGCAGCAGAAATGTTTTTATTACATACTTGTCAGTCTTATTATAGGAAGATATATTCCATTTTAAAGCTGCCTATCAATTACCAAGTTATATGCAAAATAATTGAAGGCTTGTATACGCTAGCTTAAAAGGTATAGAATGTATGCAGTAAACAGAGCCAAAAAGCCCTATGAGACTGTCTAAGAGAATATCATTAATTTTTACAGTGTATTTTCATTTCTGGAGCAGTTCCAGCATTGGATTTCTATAAAAATCATTTCAAGTTTAGAATTATGCTAGATGCTTGCAGCAACATCGCAGGAACAGTAGTATACCATATGCTGCTACTTAGCAACTTGGTCTATAATTCCCAAAGCATAGACTGATTTGAACATTGAACAGGAATTATAATTGTTGAATGACGTTATGAGACAAGTTATCTTGGATTACTAAACTATGCAGATGTTTGATGTTACATAGGAAAAAGGAACAAAACTACATTTTCCCTTGTGCTATGACTAAAATCTTATTTATGGCTGCCTACAGGGATAAATTGATTAAAATTCTCTAAAACAATACCAGGTAATGAGTTTTTGAACATACTATATTATATAAACAAATGAAATGTTAAGTGTAAAATTTAGCAAGGACCACTCAACTTTCATAATTTGTGAAGTTCATTCTCCTCCAGGGCATGCACCATCTTATATTACACTAATTTTTAAAATAGTTCATTCTGAAAAACTTTTCAACTACATATGCTGCATTATTTAAAAAGAAAACAGTTTGCTTTTGGCTCACAAACCTGCAATATCTTTAAAGATCACCAAAGTATTTGGAGCTCTTTATTCCTTCTACATAAATTATCATTGGTATTTGCAACATGCTTAGTAACTCTTGATCAAAATACTGAGAAAAATAATGTCCATTGTTTGATTTCAGTAAGGGCTTAATATTATCATCCATTGTATTTGAATTTAGAAACCTAAGGAGCTGACTTGGTAAGATGTATATGTTCTGAATTTTCAATCCTTTTTCCAAAACTCTTAGAAGGACATAATGATTCTCTGAAAGGGAGCAGCTGCTTTTTAACGATAATCATTTACTGAGTTTGTGTTTCTACTGTTTCAAACAAATTCAATTAGCCCTTACACTTTAAAACCCTCAAGGCACCAAAGAGATGGTACTGGCTTGCTTTAATCTAATAGTAATACTAAACTTGTCAGTACAGTTTTGGGATTGATGGCTAGAAGAAAATTAATAGTAACATTTTTCATTTTTTAATCAGTTATATTCAGAACTACCTATGGATTTTGGTGGCTACTTAGATGAATGAATTTAGTTAAGTATGAATTCTGAATGCAAAGACTGGTCTTCCAAGGATATTCTGAGACAGATCAACTCAATTGAATGGAAAGAAATACAGTCAGGATCTTTGAACTTAGTGATGACCTTTTCCACAGAATAATGTGGACTGTAGTGTCCAGGATGTCTGCCAGAGAAGGCTGTAATCATAATGACTTCTAAATAAATGCCAAATTCATGGATGCAGGTCTGCCTGTTTTGAGTTAAGAACCAGACATTTTGCTCTTGGAATGTACCCTCACATATTTATTATATTTAATTCCTTGACAGTCACCATTAAGAAAATAATAGTTTACCACTCCCCTCCCTCCCCTTACTTCCAGTTATCAAATCTATCTGGACAAATTAAATGGTACTGAAAACTCCGTTAGAGTACACCCTATCGTGACTGATAAGTGAAGTTCCAAGGCACTGTGATTTGATTGTTTTAGAAATAAACAGGCTGGGTATGTGGCTCAGTGGTAGAGTGCTTGCCTACCATGCAAAAGGCCCTGAGTTCAATCCCCAGTACTACAAGAAAGAAAACAAAACAAGAACAACAACAACAAATTGTGCCCACAAAATTCTCCTGTGAACTCTTCACTCTCATTTATTCACTTATTTATTTTTGCTTACAATGTTCTTATATTTTATGTTTTACTGGTACCCCAGGGTAGTCATAATTTTGTTTTAAATGCCCTCTCTGGATTAAAGGACCTGGTCTTAAGTACATAAAAAGGCTAGGCAAGCATTTACTTTTATAAATGTAACCGTTTCTATTCTCATTGCACTTTTGTTGTCACTTCTCATGATTAAATACCTTGTCAAACATTTCCAGGGAAATGGATACAAAGGTGCCCTTGAAGGGCTTTAATCTGTATCTCTTTGGGGCTAGAAAACTACTCCCCCCACCAATCTCCCCCAAGAAGATCCTCAAAACAGCCTTCCAGGGCACACCATCCGTGTGACAGTGGCGGGGAACAAAACATCTTGTTGAAAGCAGCCCTAACAGTTGATAATTAAAGCTATTTGTGACATGTGTACCTTATAATGATTAACTCGTCTACAATCAGAAGCACAAATAACCTGCACCTGTAAAGATTTTATTTCCTAAAGGTAAAACAACTGTTTAGGAAAGATCATGCTGGCAAAACAGCTGCTTGCCGTTCTGGGGAGGAAACAAGGTAGTAGCTTTCAACAAATGCCAACTCTGGTATTTTATCAGCTCCATCTCATTAACTGGAAACAAGTCTTAAATGCTTTGTTTATAAATTATGATTATTCCTGATTGCGGCAGTTACTGATAGTGCTACTCATTTGCAATGCAACTCTTTGAATTTGTTTAATTACAATTTGAAACAAGGCAGAGAAGATTAATTAACCCACCTGGCTGGCTGGCACATAGTCCTGGCTCGGCTCTGTCATGCTCATGTACATGTTCTCACCGTCAAACTGTGAATGAAATAATAGTAAACATTTAGCAATCTTGACTGTGTTTTTTCTTTTCTTTTTATTTTCTTTCTGTCTTTTCCATCAAACTGGAAAACGGTAGCCATAAAATACACTGTGGCTGAGAAGATGAAAAATCTGTCATAGCAAGCGAGCCACATCTTTCCTTTGATGTTTCTGTTGTCATTCTTCCTGACCTGGGATGTCAGTGATTTGGAGTAATTAGAGCTCTAGTAATTACAGCAAGCAAGCAAGAAATGAATGGTTTCCTTTCATCTGCAATCTGTTTTAAAACAAAATGGCTCATTTTGCACGCCATGTATACATATTGCAGTTCAGTTGTAATGAAGTATTAAATGAATGGCACCATTTCTGAAAGAAAAGAAAAATGGAAAATACAAGGAGGCACAGCTCAGTGCATTCTGAGTATAGCTCTCAGAAAAGAAATACAGCTTTTATAATAGACTGAAATGCACCACATCATAAAAGTTTTTGGATTAAAAATCTTTATGGTAATATTTGAAAAGAGCACATTGCCACTCTAGCCATGCCTAAGAGTGGATACAAAAATAACAATAAATAACAATAATGAACACAGGTGCAATGATTAAGTTTTCCTTTTTGAAAAATTTCAAAGACACTGAATTATTGTAAGTATTACAAATGCATAGAAATTCACCTGCAAATTTGCAAGTTAGGAAGAGGAGGGAAGGAGAAAATTCACAGAGGCAGCCCAATTGCAGGACACCATCAAATTGTACAAGCCACAACAATAACAGCAGCAAAATACTTTTACAATTTCAGCTTTTGAAAGCAGTAATCACTCCATTCAGATTTAATCCTCCCTTATCTTTAGTCACATGATAAATGGGCAAAGCATTCTTCTGCAGTTATAGGAAGAATTTTTTCCAAGGTAATAAGTAAATGGATAAAAGGCTGGGCCTGAACATATGTTCAATAACTTTTCAAACATGAGAAACTGAAAGCTTAAAAAATCAGTTTTTTCCTTTTCTTTTTCTACACTGAGGACTGAACCTAGAGTCTCCGCAATAAGCTAGATTCTCAGAAATTTTTATTTTTATTTTAAGTTAGGTTCTCCTTAAATTGCCTAGGCAGGACTCAAATTTGTAGTCTCATCCTCCCAAAGTACTAGGATTACAGGTGTGTACCAGAGTGCCTGACTGAAAAATAGTTTTTAAAACAGAACAGTTATCCATGGAGGTACAAACATACAGTAATATGAATAAATCTTATAAATCTCCAATACAGCAACAGAAAAATAGTTTTAGATAAAAACCAGTGTGTTACAGACATAACATCCCATCACCTGTCAGCTTAAGTAAATACACTCAAAATCTATGAAGACTGCTACGCTGTGGTCAGCAGCAGTGAGGGCCTTAAATAAGCGTAGCTGTAAAAGTAAAGAGCTCCAAAAGACATGGAGACATTTTTTAGATTAAACTGAAATGACAAAAGACTTATTCATATATAAATGTGCAAATTGTCTAATCAAGAGAAACTCACTTATTGAATGATGTGGTTGTTAATGCAAATCAGAAATACCATAACTAGAATTCAGGAGCTGGGAATTATGCTGATGGACTCATGAGTCTATAGTCCCAGTGACTGACCCCGGGGTTCTAGCCCATTGATGAGGAGTGCTTCAACCCCAAGACAATCTGTCCTCAATATGTGGATGTTATTCTTCACAACTCCCAACCAACAAGGAGTACCATCAAGCATTTCTCCATCTTCACTCACTCTTGGAGTATACTAGTTTGTTTGCAAATGTTTTTAATGTCAAGATGCCAGAGAACTATTTAAAATATGGGCAAGTTCTGAGACTATAACAAACTAAACTGAACAGAAGTAGTGAAGTGAATCAACTACTCCACTGCCTGTGCATATTCTATAAATGTGTTACTTTCTGTTTCATTTTCTCTAACTCATTTTCTAAATCTGGTGTCATTCTCAAGCCAACTAAGGCTTTGAAGTTTTAGTTTTAGTTTATCCAAAGTGTAGGCTAATTGAGTACATTCATGTTACTGCTTGGCTGAGGGCTTTTTCCTGAGTACTGATACTTGAGAAATACTGAGTGGGCTGAAATAGCATTTTACTATAAAAGGTATGTGGCTGTAAATGTTGTATTTTTACTACAATGCTACATGCTACCTCTATTTTTATTAACGCATTTAATCTTTAGAACAAGTGAGTTTGGAATTATCATTACATCTATTTTACAAATGAAAATAAAAAGGCACAGAGAAGGTAAACCAGCTGCTCAAAGTTACAGAGCTTGTGAGCATAGCTTGGCTTCAAACCCATGCAGACTGGCCCTTTGTCTTAATGATGAGATAATTATCAACTCTGAAAATAGTGCTAATAAATGGTCACAGAGAAGTGATGGTAGTGCATGTTGACCTGCCCCAATTTGAATATCCAAATTTTAAAATACTTTAAAATCCAAATCTTTTTTATCACCAACATGATTTCATATGATGGGCAGCAGTCATTATGCAGGTACACAAAAATGTTTTAAAATTATCTCCAGGATATATGTACCAGGTAAATATATAAACATGAAAGGATTCATTATGTAGACTTGGACCCCAGCCCCAAGATATCTCATTATATATACAACAGCATTCCAAAATCTGAAAAAAAAATACAAAACTAAAACACTCATGATTCTAGATATTTCAGGTAAGGGTCCCCTTAACCTTGCTGGGAATTTGTCTGGTACTGTGAGATGTTCAAAACCAGAAAAACATATAAACAAGAGTCAAAGAAAGCCTCCTACTTAGTAATTAGTGTGGCAAAATGTCACTGGATGCTTAAAAGACTGAGGCAATTATGATAATAGTTAATTTTATATATCAACAAGCTTGGGCCATGTATTGCCCAGGTATTTGGTTAAATGTCATTCTCAGTGATACCAGGAGATTGTTTTAGATAAGATTATCATTTAAACTGGTCAAGTGAATAAAGCAGATGTCCCTTCTGAAGTATAAGGGCCTCATCTGAAGACCTGGATTTCTCCTGCCTGGCTGCTGAGCTGGGACATCAGTGTTTTCTGACTTTGGATTCAGTTGAATCACTGGCAATTCTCTAGTCTTGGGCCTGCCAGCTCTCAGAGTGGAACAACACAATCAGTGCTCCCAACTCTTTAGCTTGCCAACTGTAGAGCTTGGGACTATTCAGCTCCATGGGCATGAGAGCCAATTCCTTATAAGAAACCTGTCTCTGTCTCTGTCTATTTCCCTAAACACACACACACACACACACACACACACACACACAAAGTCTCGCATCATCTTGATTTTCTTCTTCTATTTCATGCTAATACAATTGACTCATTACTATCAGGACATTGAGAACTTCTTAAAAATCACACGTCTAAGGGCTGGCCAAATAGCTCAGCAGATTGATTAAAACCCCTGTAAGCAGGCACAGGGACCAGGGGTTCAATCCCTGGGCCTGCCATACTACCCCCACCCCCCGTGTGCTGAGACTGCAATTGAGACTGGGAGTGGTGGTTCACACCTGTAATCCCAGCTCTTGGGAGGCTCTGAACAGGTGGATCACTATGAGTCCAATCTAGTAGTGAGACCCTGAACACCTTGTAGACCTTTCCCTAAAAATAAAGAAAAGAAAAAAAATCACATGTCTAGAGGACTTACCAGGTGGAAACACATTCGTTTTCTGCTATCACTTGCTTCCTAGAGAGTTTTGCTAAGTCTTGTTTCCCATGTCTGGTGTTTTTGTCCCTCACACATGTTTTTGTCCCTCAAACATACTTTGTGGAAATGTTTCTTAGACTCCTAACTCCATTCAGGGAGAGCTGGACTATTCCAAACTCTTGGCACTTCCCTGGGTAGTCCTCTGTTTCAAGGAAGCTTTTGTCATTAGGGGGTTAATGTACTGTACCATAGACCACCAGAAGACACAGTGCACATCTTAGTTATCTAGGTACCTCTAGAGCTTAGGGTCAGCACACGTAAGTCTTCAGGAAACACTGCCCAATTAATAAAAGACAAACATTGTGGCTGATTAAACAAATAACCTTCCTAGAAAGAGGGATACAATGACTTTATAAGAAAAAGAATAAGATTTCAGAGATTCTTTTGATAAGGTTTTGTTTTGACTGATGCTTTAGGTCCAGGCTAAAGTGCAATCGAGGCATGTGCTCTACCACTGAGTTACACTCTAGGCTCAATGACTTTCTTTAAAGGGACTGACTCAGTTTTACAGTAGATGAAAACTTGTTTGAAAATCAAAGCCTTTAAAAGAAGAAAAGTACAGAAATGGCTATACAGCCATCACTTAGGTACTGTACCCAATTTTGTGAGTTCTTTTTTTTTTTTTTATTAGACTGTCTTTAAGGTCAAATACATAGAGAAGACAAGAATCCCAATGCTTGGCTCTGCATAAAAGTTTGTCTCCTAGAATTATGAATTATCAAATAATAGAGTGTGTCAGAATTGGCCTTCTTACTCCTTTTGTGTGTAAGGACTTGTCACTGTATAAACTTCTAGGCCCAAGGAGAGGCTAAGCAAAATCTTCTATAAACTCTTCCTTGTCGGGTTGTAATTGTCATCTTTGACTTTCATAGCTCACTCACCACACCCTATTTAAGAGCAGCTGCGAGGGATTGTAACAGGCTTCATGTTGACCCATGAATGGTAGAAGTATTCCATGTCATGGGCTTATGACCAGTTGTCACCAGTGGTATAATTATAGCCCAAAGAGTCTTAAAATTTTGATTCTGGGAAGATTCCTGAAGACAGCTATCTGAATTTTTCAGGTTATTATGGAAGAAATATACCTTTTTGCACTGTACATTGGGGAATAGAACTAAGTCTGAATTCTTGGTAGCGAAGGTTTTATGGAGGAGATACTGCTGTACACATTATACCTATAAAATGTAAGAATCAGACTCTGACTACAGATGTTCCTCAACTTACAATGAGGTCATGTTCCAATGAAATCATCTTCAATTGAAA